ATGATAGGATTTTTGAAAAACTGGCTTATAGCAAAAAAAGGATCCAGTAGCCGATCAAGTAAAAAAAATAAAACCTCTCCTTGTAAATTGATGCAAACATTTAGATTCAGACATATCAGTAAAATTCTAATAACACTGAGGAACAGTATAAAAAGAAACACTGATCAAAATAGAAAATAGACCCCAAACTGGCCATTCTAGCTAATACATGCGAGACTGTCTTGGGCCTAAGTACATCAATGTTGACATGAAACAAACACCTACGCAGCCAGTTAATATTCTAGGTCTATCAAGTACCGTTTGGTTTGGATGGGAACCATACATTCTTAGCTCTTGTATCAAGTGGTTCAAATGCCTGTTGATGAAATTGAAGAAGCTTTCGCTTAACAGACTTTCGTGTGTACTAGCAGAGGATCACCAATACCTCCAGGCAGGAACCTAGGTATATTGACTATAACAGATTAGAAAAGAAAGAAATTTGTAACTTATAATAAGATGTTATCCTCAGTACTTAAGAATGGGTCAAGTTTCCCCTTAAAGGATTCCTGAGAAGTCACTTGGACTAGCTCAGACAGCATAGAATTCCAGCATTTGACAACACTCAGGGAGTAGAAGCTTTGTCTACAGCCCGTTCTGCTGTGTTGCTTCTCAAGTTTCTGGGGATTACCCCTTGGGTTTGTGTCGGTGCTAAATTTAGGAGGGTATTTAAGGGAAAGTCCAGAAGTGTTAAGGAAATTGTAAGTCATCAGAAGGCCACCTATAAGACGCCTGTACTCCAGTGGGTAAAAGTTAAGTGATTGGAGGCGCCCTTCATAAGGCTTGAATTTCAATCCCCGAACTGATTTCGTGGCTCACTATTGGATACGTTCCTGAGTGTCCTTATCCTTTATGAGTGGGAGAGGAAATACTACGTTTCCGTACTCTAAATGAAGACGAATAAAACTTTTGATGATTATGTGGAATGTTCTTCCGTCAAAATGGCCAGAAATTAGCTCCGATGTTACCAGTGCAAGGTTGGCTCGAAAGGCATTTTTATCACAGTTAGCATAAAACTTCAAATCGTAGGGCATCATGACTCATATCTTTTTTAACCTGGGATACTTCTAGGGAGGAGTTTCAGAAGTTGTAACCGTAGTCTGTAACATGTCTCCGATGGACTACTTTACACTTTGAAGTGTTAAAGGTAAGTCCATTGTCGTCTGTCTAACTTTGAAGTCGGGTCAGATCCTTCTGGAGTGCCTTTATATTGTCTTGGTTGTGTATCTCTCTAAATTTTCACATCATCTGCAAAAAGTAATAAGTCAGACGACACCTGTTGTGGAAGATCGTTTATATAAATCAAGAGAAGAAGAGGTCTCAGTACTGAACCCTGGGGGACCCCACTAGGACATTCCATAGCCTGAGATCAAGAGAAGTTAACCCTGACCTTAGAATGTCGATTTTTCAGATATGAAGTCAGACAGTCAATTAGAGGTGATTTGATACCCAATCGTTTGAGCTAATTGATAAGACATATATGGTTGTCCCTATCATAGGCTTTTGAGAAGTCAAGGTTAATTATATCAACCTTCCCCTTGCTATCAAGGATGCTTATCCATCTGTCCACCGCAGTCAGCAGGTTGGTTATGCAAGAGTAACCCTTCCTGAAATCATGCTTTTGGGGTGAGAAGAAATTTAAGGACAATAAATAGTCGTGTATACTGTGGCCTATCAGGGACTTCATAAATTTTGAATGATCTCTGCATTGATTTCCTTTGAAAATTGGTGTGATGTGAGCCAACTTCCAAATATCCGGTAATGTGCCTCGGCTTAGCGAGTGTGAGAACACCACGCTAAGCGGAGTTGCCAGGATTGAGGCTACTGCACTCAGTATAGCAAAATGAGACATATATTGACTAGGAGAAATGTCTTTTTTAAGTGCTGCAGTTTCCGATACACCAAGTCAGCGCTCAAGTTGACTTCGAGGTGTCCTGTGCAATTGCAGATGAAGCTTCCATCAATATAGTTAGTGTGGGTCGGTTGGAATGTCCGAGAGTACTGTTCAACCAGGAGGTTAATGGTGTCACCGTCGTTATTGGTCGTTCCATTAGGACCTAGTACTTGAGAAACTCCAGTTTTGGCTAGACGAAGAGAGGCTGTACAACGGAATAAGCTTTTCGGATTCGAGACAAATTTATCCATAAGCTTTATCTGGTACTAAAGCCTGTCTTCTCTTATAGCCTTCGTGCATATTTTCCTTATACGTTTGTATTGCCTATACGCTCCGCGTTGTCAGTTCGTTAGTATTCTGCCCTACAGTGCCTTTTGCGGCTTAGCAAATGATGAGTGCGGTTCTTATTGACTGTAGGTTGCTTAAAGACTTTGGGGACCATTTGAGGTACATACTGTTTTTTAGCACATAAAATCGTGTGCAATAAGAAATCCCAATGAACATCCACATCAAGTTGATGGTTAATTTCTCAACCCACACGTTGTACATTGTACTGTGAAGCTAACGCATTCAACCGTTTGAGATTCCAGCGTCTGTTGTTGGTGGGACGACTTAGCTCAGTTTTACTGATAGGACTGAAGGCTATGACGAAGTGATCGCCCCACCCCAGATCCGCCAGGATTGAGAGGTTGTCATCTAGGAATACTTCATTCGTCAGTATCCGGTCTAAACGCAACGGCGTCTGACTGTTTCTCCAACGAACTGTCGACTTCCTATTTTCGAGTAATCCCAGATACCCCATAAGGTTGAAGAACCGAGCTTCAGTAGAACCTAGCTTCACATTTTTTAAAACTCAGTTTTGAATCAAACAAATCTTGGAGGCTAACGTTACTGCCACGTTGTATAAACTAAAGAAGACAGAACAGGGTACGAGCAAGGGGCTTAGCAGCTTGGAGGCAAATGTTTTAACTAATATTATGCTTTACTCTTGAAAGGTGATAATAGAGAAATAGCTGCAAGCTTGATCTCTGGATATATATTGGCTGCGACCTGGAATGTTCCCATTTATACACATGTGTATTCTATGGAATTTATATGTCATAGCCTGTGTACTTCACATATGCATGTGACGTAAACCTGTGACCGCACGCATTTATGCGTATGTGCACTGTAGAATGTAAGTATCACTGATATACGCATTCTATATAAACATGTAGTGCACACTTGCAGTCATACCACATTCCATACTGGCGTATTCATCATATTTTTAAGCGCAAGTTTCCGAAGGTGTTAGGAAAGTGTATACTATAACATGTCAGTTTGCACTATAGATGTCGAAATCCCTAATATCACTTTAAAACTGCAGGATGAACTGCAACGTATCCGTCTTCTTAGCTTTTTTAACGTTTCAGTCACACTTTCTTTACATGGCTCTTCTTTCTTCCTGATGGGCTATGAGGCTCCTACTATGTAGTTGGGCGGGATTACTACTACCAAGCCTGTTAACACCAAGGCAAAAAAGCCTTAAATATAAGACTGAATTCTGAAATCCGTGTAGTTTAGAGAACACCCAAGTACGTTCTCACGTTTTCTCAATAAGTTGCCACCACTTCGAATGCCCTCTCAACCGAAGCAACCTCAGACCTATTAGTGGATAGGTTTAAGAGGAGATTCGACAAACAGATACTCACCCATGGATTCAGCTGTCTCGTAACTTACGTGATGTATTCATTAATGTATATCGTTCGTCTATTATAATCTGGTTGATTATCACTTATGTTACCCCCTTTATTATTACACTTAGACACACCCACTTTCTGTGCCGCCAATTAATTAACATACTTATTTGTTTACTTTATTTATCTCATGGAGCAGTCGTTTTAACTTAACACTGGTATCTTCATTTTTCATAGTTCAAACAACCAACCAGTATCCACAAGCCTTATTGCCCTCAGACAAGATCACTTGCTTGAATTGCAAGGTATATAGATTCACAGGTAACTATCATATTGACTGAAATTAGTGCAGTTGAGTGGTCAAATCAGCCCGCATTGATCATATTCGAAGGCCAATAATCCTTTCGAAATAACAAGAAGCGAGAGTGAATGAACCAACCAATCTGTATAAATTCATCATAAAGATGTTGGATACATAGAAGTGGACGATGTTGTTCCTGATTTGATCCACATCCGGCTTTACTCTTCTATGCAGTAATATTTATATGCATATACGAAATTATCAAACCAGTCAAGGCAGTTTAATAATTTCGTACATGCATATAAATTTTACTGTATATTAGAATAAAGCCAGATGAGGATTTAATCCGAAACAATATTGTTCGCTCATATATGTTGTTCTAAACCACAATACGGGAAATTTCCAAATATTGAAGATGCTTTGGCGAAGTCGAGGAAACCATTCTGTGCCGGTATTTTTAATTAAAGCATCATTTACTTGTATCATGAGGTGAAGAGATTGAATTCGCAGGACCATGCAATCCTTAAACAGTGTTTGTCTTCGTGAAGTATAATGTGTGACTCCAAATATTTCCTCATTCGATAATGAACGAACACAGAAAAATGAATCCGGTCTAAAGAACAAATGGTTTTGTTTATTTCCTTTGAAAGTTTAAGTGAGGGTTGTCTGTCTATCCAACATTACAAGTCGTCTGAGCTGAATCGACTGCATTAACCGATCGAATACAGATGAATTGAAGAATTTTGAGTATCGCTGCAGAAATATGGGGTGAATTTCAATACATCTCCCTGATATTATTGACCGTAGATGATCATAGAAAAATTTATAGCGCCTCGTGGTGAAAGCCGAGCTTCTTCGGAACTCAGAAGGCCTATTCTCCTATCCAACAACAGGATCAGCAACTTTAACAGGTACATGGAGCTGACATATCCCCAGATCATCATATTGTGTTTTGCAAACACACACTGACAAATCCAGAAAATTCAAGACAAGTCCATAGAAATCAGTATTCTGATTTGCAGCTTTGTCTAGTGATACTCGGCCTTATTGAGCCCATTCTTCATATATATGTATAATTTGATGTAGTGAAGTACTTCATTTCATGTCCCTATCATTTATCTTCTACATTGTTTTAGTTCGCTAGGTCATCTGAAGCCTCAAGGTTGTCTGTTCCATGTGTAATGCATCTATCAACTTTAGGATATGGAACGAATACTATCTCTCACTGATGATGAGTTAAGAGCCGAGTTGTCAGGCAAGGGATATTACCCACCACCTATTCAAGGTTTGTTGCACTATTGCTACGTCCTAAGTTTACGAAGATGACGTCACCAGGAGAATATTACGCAAAAAGCTGGCACTTTTAATTGATCGTATGTCCTATTTCTTAATATTCATGACGATGTACGTTTTCCAGCTTCTCTGGTGATTGAAGAGCCGTAAGTGTCTAACAGAAACGTTAACACCATTTAAGAATTCAAAATCCGGACTCTTCAGATAACAGCGATTCGTCTGATGCAGCTGGAGAGACAAGTGTACGCTCGAGAAATCGCGTCAGGTTTTCTGAACCTCAAGAAACTGTGTACGAAGTTACTGAAAACCACAAACGTGGTTTCTTAATGTACACCATATTCTTGCTTACCGCGGTCGTGGTTGGATATCTTGTGATGAAAAACATAGATGTCATCTCGTTGTTCATGAAAATGCTGGTTTATTCCTTTTCTCAGTGATCAATAATATGTTTCATTCTTATGATTGTTTGATATATATGTCATATGCATAGGACACTTATTTCAGTTAAAAATCGAATCAAAAGGGGAAATAATTATGAACATTCAGTATTTGTTCAAATCGATCGAGTCAGAGAAACAAATAAATGGCACGATGATTTTTCGGCATAGACTCGGACTGACTGCCTCATTTCCCCATGATTTCTGACCATTATTGTGATATTCCGAGGATGTTTTTTTACAACACAGGTAGTTGCTTTCGTCGCGCATCATCATCGAAACACAGTTTCCAATGTTGAGCTATTAAACTCTTACACTGAAATCATGAAAAGTACTAATTAATAAAAAATTTTAATGTTTTTAGGAGGTGTCTGGATAGTTAATTATATTCGAGAATCCTAAAGACCGCAGTAAAATATTTATGGTAAGTGCCTTCAAAAAAAGCCCTCATAATGTCCGTGAATCCCCAATGTAAAACCTAATACTTGAGAACTTGGTTTTAAGCCAAAATAGCAAGTTAAACTGGCACCCAGTCAACAGTGCTTTACCGAATGCTGAGAAGAACTTACCGAATAAGAACTGACTAACTTCTAGTCGTAATTACTTGGAAGTATTCGGTCTCTGGTGTCGACCAAGATCTAGAGGCCAATAGTAGGACCACTAAGGTGGGTCCACGAGACAGCCATAACCAGTAGCTGCATACATTTAGTGATGGGTCGCAATTGGATCTAATTTCATAGATGTGTTGCAGATTCATCATTTATTACAACTTGGTACCTTACGTTGCGACATACGTCCTGCTTACTAGTTTCGTTTGCTTAGAACATATTTTTATCACTGCTGCGGCTCCCTTATTATGGAAAGTTTTATTCCTCACTGTGGCGTAGTGATGTAGCAATCTAGGCCTACATAAGAGTGATCTTACTACATCCGTTACTGATTGGTAGGGAACATAAGATATCCGGTAATGATGCAAGGTTGATAAGTTTAGGATCTAACATCCGTCCAGGCGGTTCATCCGTGCTTCTCTGCTCACAGGCTAATATAGGTGGTTCTTAATGTAGGAAGAGATTGAAATGTTATAGGCCTCCAAACCAAAACGTACTATACTATGGGATCAAGGACTGCCGACCACGACCTCCCTGGAAGCTGTGGATTCACTGGCCTAGGAGATAAAGTCTATTTTATTGAAGACTGTGTGAGTTCGAAATCTATTTAAATGAGACGGATGCGATGGTCTTCTACCCACCTTCATATCTTTATAATGTCTCTGTGCTTCACCTCATGCTTATTATTTCTTTCCTAAATATTTGTTGCAATTTAATCTTGCTGTGGGCGTAATTAGTTCGTTGTTTTTAATGCATTTTTGAGCTATTGTGTCGTGATTTAGTCCTTTCACGTTGACCATCTCTGGTCCCAAAGTGTTCGATGTTTAATATGGGTCTCCTTTTTTATCGTATGTTCGGTTTTAAGAATAGAATGGTTGAGAACCAATTCCATCTTAGTGTTTCATGAAAAGATGCTTCTTTCAATCAACCCGTTGTGAGTGGTGATTACGTAGCAATTATCTTTAATGTAGTTGCAAATTAGATGTATATAATTTACAATAATATTTTTCAACTTCGCATCGGCCGGTCAAACGACACGACCGTTTTAGAGTATCATTAGCACGCCTCATGGCTACAAGAATTATTGAGTCTAACGGAGGACGATCACAAGGTATTACTGATACCCTATTGAGACCTAGCGATGAAGCTCTTAGTAACCTAAAAGTGGCGAAAATATTCACTGATCATTTTGACATGGCTAAATCAAGAACTAACAGGCTTGGGACTCTATTCCATACTAGATGCAAGTTGTAGTCTGAAAAAATCAACCCAACCTCTAGGTTAGTACTAAGAAACCAAGATACCTATGATCAGAAAGACCATCAGTTTATATTCAGCGTGGCAAATGTTCCACGAGTAGTAGATATGTAACTTCTATGTAGTTTATAATGGGTCATATCTACCAATGATAATGTATTATGGTTAAAAATAGGTGTATCACAGGCAAGTCAAATTGTACATTTTAGTGGAAACAAAGGAAGACATTGATTAGTTCAAGTGATTATAAAAGTTAAAAGACGAGACATTTCGTCAAACTCAGCAAATGACAAGGAGGGCATTTACAAAGAAATGGCCGGTAAAAAGTAAAATCAAAAACGAGGAACTCCCCAATCCACAAGCTAGTACTTTTGTGTAATAAGAAGGAACTTTGATAGCGAAAATCATTTCTGTGTACACAGAGTGTTCGATAACCTATATAAATAAAATATGACGTTTATTCAAATAGATAGTATGTAATTAGCAATAATACTGTGAGGTCAATAACTTCTAATTCCATGAACTAGGATATCACAGGATATTTTCTATTAAAATATGACGAGCGAGTCTATTTCGTTGTTTACTTAATATCGACAAAAGTTGATCAGGACACGTCAAATATTTTGAGTCACCAGTTTTCCATATTTCAGCTTACAAGAGTGATTAGTGTGTAATTTAATTGGGAATGGCATAGTTTGAAATAGGGCACATGCATCCATTCTTTATCTTCTCCCTAATTCTGAGGTTCTACATTTCTCATGATTTTTTTCGTTTTTGTTTCACTAATTTATATTATCCCCCGGATCTTATCTACGATGCCCAATTTTTATTACGATTGATATTGCTACCACCTCTGATTTTCTGGGATTTTTGGTTTGACATCTGCAAATGGGATATGGCAACTTCAACCGATGTACATACGTAGCAGGTGCTACGTTGTGGCTGACTGACTAAAACGCTAAGAATAAACAAATGGTGATGTGATATTGACTCAAGAAGATATTTACTTTCGTCACCTATCTAATTATATAAGGGTTAAGTACCCTACAGACTGTTCAAAACGCTCAAAAGTAACAATGTATCGCAGTCATCAAGCACGATACAACTGATTTGCATTGTTTGTATTAGGGGCATAGTGGTGATACTTGATCATTCAAGCTGAAACAGGTAGATTGAAGTTCGAAAATCCGACCTGTTAATTGAGAGCCGATTGTTTAAATCGTCAAACCACTACTGCAACTGTGTGAAGTCTCCATAGTTTGGCAAACACTCACGCCTTGAAATCAATGTGAACTTTTCTGTTTACAAATTACCAACTCAATAAATAATATCATTATGTACAAAAGGATCTTATGAAATCCGAAACCTTAACACAAACGAATAAGTTTGATTATCAGCCGATTTATGGTAAAGTACATATAATCTAAACAAATGTGAATGTGAACCAATAAAAGACATTGTATTATGTCAGCAAATGTAAAAGTTATCATAACTTCCGACTAATAAACATGAGCGGTTACACAAAGTTCATAATCCAGTGCACAATGAAATAGAGTTAAGTTTTAAAGTAGAAACGTTTAGGAAAAAAACTAAACCAGTCAACGGTATAGATTTGACGGAGGACTTAGTTGGTCGACTTAATTATTTTCATAGTACCATCAAGTGTACTCAAACCCTGAAACATGAACGTAGTCTCACTCATTATCACATGTAGAAGGGTAACGAAACTCAAAGAGTTCATCGGTAACATCTCTAACTTGAAAAATGATTGGCTCAAGCTCGAATTTTACGAAGAGCATTAGTTTTGATAAGATTATAAATATAACTCGCCCTTGACAAGTGACAACTAGCGCGAAACCCAAGTTAAGTAGGTGAGTCATCATGTTCATCACCGTCAGCCAACTAGCATCTTATTATATACATCTCCCGTTTACTCATTTACCATGTACAAATACATTTAATTCGCTTCGAATCACGCTGTAAGTACGAAGGCTGGTGATACCAACTAATTCTTGAAAGATAAGTATATGAGGCGCGGGGTTTAAATATATGACTTAGTGGTTGAAAGTCAAACACCTTAACCACTCCATTTAACTATAAGGAATACAGACTTAAAGTAAAGTTAATGGTTCATTTTATAATAGATTGAATAAACTTACCAATCCATGGCTTCTTCCAATCCTTCACCTTTTAATGCAGATGTTTTAAATAGTTGATAACGTCGATTTTTAATTGCAGCTAAGCCAAGTGATTGTGCTACTTCACTGATAGTCATACAACCAGATATATCTTGTTTATTTGCCAATATTACCAGTACAGCACCACGAAGCTCTTCCTCCTGCATGCCGAGACAAATTAAGTAACGTTACAAAAAGCTTGTAAGTATGAAAGTATATTTAGTTGAAAAGATTGTTTTGGGAGTCTGTAGATATTTTTTGTCAAAGGGCTCAGGAAACTGGAAAATTTTGATCTAATATTGAATAGGGGTTTCACGGAAAGCATCCACACGATTGTCACATTTTGGTTTAATAATTACTTGCATCGTTGCTATATTTGGTATTTCCAGAAGTGTTTGGAAGGTTATTATTTTATTTTAACACACAGATATTGGTACAAGGAGGCATCAAATACATATGCGCCACACGAATCTCATTTGGTATTTGTGAGGGCTGTGATACTGCCCGGGTGCTCAAACCGAAGCAGGAAGGTTAAGGACACAAGACGCTATAAATACACTTGATCCTTTGTACATAACTAACCTTGAGACAAAGCTCATACACTTCGTATCTCTTCCCATTTTTCGAGTTGAGATGTACCCAGAGGTTATACGTAAGCAGCTAGGAAGTTAGTAACAATCGTCTAATGAATAAATTCCTCAAAACTCCCAAAGATTATATAGACACAATATGAGAGAAATTCAATTAGACTGGTTATAATTCATTCTTAATGCATCGATGCTAGTGGAAATATAACTAACTCATCTCAGAAATTTCTATAATTTCAACATAAAATTGTACTTTTACATTTATGGACTTCATTATGGCTCCTCAATCAGAAAATTGTTTGTTGTTTCCAACCCACTCACTCCTGTACTCATTTTTGTCAAACAGAGTAAAACAATATGAGACAAAAGTAAGATTAACACATTAATCGGCGAATAAAAGTTCTATCATCTAGTCCTCCCTTCTTATGTGCTGATGCAATTCTATTAATCACTCTTTAAAAATGTCCATCAGATGACTTAGTGAAATTCTTTGATGTTAAACGACTGGAGGACATAAGTTTTGTGCTGGTTGGGATTAGGGGGTCGAGTAATCAGTAAAAGAATCCAATAGATACTAGAAACAATACCATGAAGTTGGTTTTTATTCTGATCATTTAGTAATGATAGTAATAAAAACCTCCAATGTCTGTATTTATAATTCTCATCAGGACTGTAGATAGATTACGCTGATGATTTCTAATCAGTAACAAATCAATGGGCTACGGATTCCATCTGTGTTTTATTATTCATACAACATCAACCAAAGCGATATAATTACTGAACGTATGAAAGATAGTAAGTTTACGTAAAGTTGTTTATATTATCAGGCAATGAAGTATAATAAGTTGTTTAATTTATTGAATCTCAACTTTTCAGCCAAAAGACAGTTTTTATATCTACTTGTACGACCATTTTCTTAGTGCTGATAAATTAATCGACGTGAAGTCCACTATTTTCATTTGCTAACACAGTCAGTCAACTACAACGTAGGACCAGGCACATATATGCATCGGTCCAAGTTGCCATACATCATTAGCACAAAATGAACACTGAATTCATAGAGGTAGTTAATTCAATGGTGGTAATATATAAAAGACTGCATATAAAGATATGGTATAGTAAGAAATAATTAGTTCGTGGAAAGAAAGATATAAATCAATTTTAATCTCATAATTCAAGGGAAGACAGAGAGTGTATACACTGACACCATTGTGATCGATTCTCAGCCATGTCACCAGAGTCTCTAGGCATTGATTACGATGGTCAGGCGGACCCCAACTAAGTAGTCTGCATCTACCAACATGGCTCAAACTAGAAGTCAGTTACTTTATGGACGGACGCCACGTTTTGGTGTTTGGCCACCCCTTTCTTCCGACCCATTCCCAATACTATTCAGCATTGCATGTCGTGGTAATCGGTGTTCAGGCACACGTGGCCCAACCATCTCAATCGATGAAGATTTACCTCATCAACTGATTTACCATCATTCCCTAATACCTTGCGTCTAACTTCACCATTACTTACTTGGTGATCCCCAGAGGATGTGAGCAGTATTTCTAAGTTATCTGTGGTCAAATAATAGTAGCTTACAAGTATCTTTTACCCTTAATGGCCACGTTTCGCAGCTGTAAAGTAGAACAGAACGAACTGCGCATTATACTCGTCTCGTAATTGAGAGACGGATATCTTGCATTCGCCATTGGCAAAAGCCAAACAAGCTTTCCGAATCCGCATAAAGATTTCGTCAGATACCAACCCATTAAGGCTGATCAGATTTCCAATATAAGTGAAGTTGTCGACGCGTTCGACTACTTTACTCCCTATCCTTAGTTCAGATGTTGACGCAAGCCAGTCCTGAAGCAACAACTCGCATTTAGAGGGAGAGGAACACATCCCAAACATCCTGGCATTGTTGCTTAGTGCTACCAAAAGACTCTGCATTTTATCAGCGTTAATGGTTTGGATTACCCCGTTGTTGATATATGTTAAATGGAACTTGATCACTAGATTGGCATATGAGAATCCAGTAGGAATTGCTTCACGTCGCAGGCATTAGAAGCAGAGATGGATAGTGGCTAGCAGTAGGATCCAGGATGCACGTCTCGTCCTAATTACGACTAGTCAGCATGACGTACCGATATCCCAGAGTTGATGATCACTCTGGGACTTAGACCCAGTACAATTTACCTCGAACCCCATAGCGTTATCCACTTGGCTACTGAGTACAGATAGTTACTGACTTGTACAAAGGGATGGACGGTAGTGGGTTTGAATCCAGGAGTGAATATCAACTTTGGGGTACTGGTATGTCATGATGACCAATCATAATTAGGAAGAGACGTGCGTCGTGGTCCCACTGCTAGCCAGTATCGATCTCTGCTTATAATACCTGCGACGTCAGGCAATCCCTACTGGATTCTCATATGCCAATCTAGTGATCAAGTTCCATTTAACATATATCAACAACGGGGTAATCCAAACCATTTCAAATTGAATTACTCAAATGAATATTCTTATATCCCATCCATACTATTCACATAAGAAATATGTTTTTCAGATAGTTAACCGATAGTTACTGGCTTGTACAATTGGACGAACGGTAGTGTGTTCGAATACAGGAGTGAATATCAACCTTGGGATACTGATACGTCCTGCTGACCAGTCCTATATAGAACGAAACGCACATCCTGGAATCTACTGCTAGCCACCAAATGCCGTGGTACGACTGAGAGTGGGGAGAGTCAACTATCCCCCTCGAAATACTCTCACATGGCCACACGCATACAACCACTGCCAGGGAAGTCCTACTCACTGTCTTCTCGCAGCTGGGGTGTTGGTTACGAAATTGAGAGGACGTAAAGCGGATGTCCAGTGCTTTAACCGGGTTGGTGGACATAGAGTCCACTTGGGGGAGTTGGGAAACCCTCATCCCAAACCAATGGTACACATGGGCTCAAGTATACTGAAGGAACGAATGGCGTATGAACCAATTATTGGTCACCGGCTACCATGGGACTCCATCTCCTTACGTTGCTCCGCTGCCTTGTGGGTCACACCATTAGGTTGAAGGCTCCGAATGTGGCCCCCCAAGACGACCACCTGCTTCGGTTTGGGCATCCGGTCAGTATCCTAGCCCTTACACAAACCGAGTGATTTATGTGGAGCATATCTATTTGGTGCCCCTCGTACCAATGTTTATGTATTTAAATAAATAAACTGCTAGCCACACTCCATCTATGCTATATCAGCACGGACAATACTTAAATGACCAAATCAAAGTGAGATTAGAATAAGTGATATAGTAACTAAGAGGATAGCAGAGGTTCTATTTTAATGAAGTGTAGTGATTTGAGCCATATCACTTTTCAAGTTTTGAATTGAGTTGGAACAATTTAGTATTAGTTATGCAAAAAAAATTAGTCACACAGTCAAATATAAAATCCAATTCTGATATCTCTGAATTTTAAGTAAATTAATTCGTGAAACGATTGCTTAATATGTCCTAATTTTCTATTCTCTAATACTATTGTTTTCATTATTTTTGATGAATAGAGATTTGTAGGAATCATTCAATTTATAATTTACACCAACGATCTTGGCTTTGACTGGACAACTATCAAAAACTTAAGTAGCACTGAATGGAAATACGTTTGTATAGTTTATATCAAGTTTAAACTTCGATCATTTATGCAACAATACGAATTAAACAAAAACAAGCCTGTATTAATCTATTTAGCTAAAAACAGTTAGTTAGTCGTAGAGTAGAATCTGATACATAAGTACATCGGTTTAACTTAACATACCCCATTTGCACAAAGAGATGAAATTGTCAAACCAAATCCCAAAATAGTAGAAGTGGCAACAGTATCAGCGGTAATAGGTATTAAATATACGTTTCAATAATAAATAAGTAGAAGAAAACGAACAATTTAAAGGCTTTCGAACGATTTTGAATCAGCTAAAATCAAATTCATCCAGTCTTTTATTTTTAAACTACGTCAATTTTGTTAATGAAATTAAAAATCTATAACACTTTGATAATTTGAATGACCAGTATTTTAATAAGGTGACTAGTCTAACTTAAACTATTGAAAAATACTAACGTCACTAAAGTTGATTTTAATAGAAATTGATTTCAATTTTGTTTTAAAAGATCTGCTATATATAGACATATGCCTAAAACCAGTAAATCAATGAATATAGAACTTAGTTTAATTAAGCAACGCTTTACGTTGCCACAACACTGTGGTAGAAAAATAAGGAAAAATAACAATAGTGAATGAGAAATAAAAGTTCACAAATGGTAAATAAAACAACCGACAAAGAGAAGTGGGAAGTACAAAATAAATTAAAATTTAAGAATTCCAAGGATAATTGAAAATGGAGTACGGCAGGTCAAATGTGTCTTTAAGACTCCAACTATTGTAATGCAGATAAATATATGGTTATTGTCCAGGAATCAGCGGGTTTATCGGTTGTTGCCTCAAGTCTTGTGACTTGGTCAAGCATAACTGGCTTCTTTCTAGTTCTAATTCAGTCAACATAGTACACCTGTATAAGTAGTGACTCAAAATTATTGATAAGTATTCCGTCCACCCTGTACGACGAATGGTTATATCAATGTTGATTTAGAGTTCTTAGAGCTAGATAGTTCAATTGTTTATTATTATTATTATATTTATTTAAACAAATAAACATTGGTACAAGGAGGCACCAAATAGATATGCGCCACATAAATCATTCGATTTATGTGAGGGCTAGGATACTGCCCGGGTGCTCAAACCGAAGCAGGTGGTCGTCTTAGGGGGCCACATTCGGAGCCTTCAATCTAATGGTGTGACCCACAAGGCAGCGGAGCAACGTAAAGAGATGCAGTCCCATGGTAGCCGGTGACCAACGATTTGTTCGTACGCCATTTGTTCCTTCAGCATATTGGAGCCCACATCACATCACAATGTGTAGACGCTTTATAACCGTGCAAATTGAAACCCTCATCTATACAATCTGATCAACAGATTTCATTCAGTAAAATTTACCGTTAAGTTACGCAATGTAAGTTATATTACAGCTAGAAATTTAAAAAAATCAATATACCTAATTACAATCAAAACAAGTTGAAATAATTCTGAAATATTGACCATGTGTTTTCTATTTAAATAGAAATACATAAAAAACCTGTGTATATCAGGTTACTATTTAAGTATTAAGGCAATCGAAATGAAAAACACTTTTGAACAAAATACTACACAACTTGACTAAACAACAACAATTCAATTATGGTGTGTGTGTGTGTGAAGTAGTTAGTTAACAGTAGCAATGGATAATTGTTGGGTGATATTGCATGTAAGACATTAAAGGACGGTTCAGTAGTTTAAAGATCCAACATTCATAGTGAAATCAGACGGTTCTATGCTCGATTTCCTATAGGATCGTTAATGTGTATTGTTGAAGAAGATGAAATCGCTATCCCCTGTTTAACGGTTTTGAATAGTTTTCTAATTAAGGTTAGTCCGTGATGGAAATGATGAAATTCAATCAATTCAATAGACCAACTACAGTAACAAGAAAAGGGGTTTGTGTCACCTGAAAATATTCCATGCATTAGTAAAGGATCAGTAAGAAGAATCAACTTTCTTTGCAACTCTTGCTGTTCTTGAGATATTAATACATCGAACCCATCGTACACAAAGCTTATCGAAGCAATACTTGTTGTAAGTATTTATCGTTCAGTAATAGAACTGTATTTAAGAACAACAATTGTATCAATCAATGAATAAGGACCAATAAATATAACATTGAACCAGAATAACGTCACTCAAAGAAATGCTTGTAGATGGCTTCTCGGCTCAATAATTATATTTTGATATAAATTTAAGAGTATGCTTTCCTTGAATAATTCGTTAAGTAATCAATATTGATTAAAGGAATTATATGCTCCCATCTAAATCACTACAGCTGAACTCAAGAGACCAGACCTATTTTCCTTCAGGAGGGAGTGGTAATACAATCAGTTAATCAGATATTGACCGGATGTTAAGTAGACGCTATTGGAAAAGATTTGAGTTTTTGTTCTATGGCTAGAACTTATCAGACTTCTAAGATAAGTGAAGTTGTCAAAGCGTTCGACTACTTCACTCCCTATTCTTAGCTTAGGTGTTGACACAGGCCAATCCTGAAGCAACAATTTGCATTTAGAAGAGAAGGAACGCATCCCAAACATCCTGGTATTGTTGCTCAGTGCCATCAGAAGACTCTGCAAAAAAAGTAAGTTCCTATTTAGTACGTCAGTGACCGTATTGAACAATTTCTTTAACAGCTATAGCAAGTCGGTTCTTACAGATTCTAGTACAATATTTTATTATTAACACGAAAACTGTTTACTCAATTGTGAAGCTTTCACTATCATTCTGGAGAATGTCTACTAGGAATTGAGTGCTTAAGTTCAAATACTGTTCTGTTCATCTTTTTTTCGTATATATACTTTTCTCAAGACTTTCATCACTTTTTCGTCTTACACTAAGATCTAAATAGTTAGCAGACAAAAAACACCAATCTTACTTCATTTTACAGAGACGATCGCTATCAAACGTTTCCAAATTGGCCAATGTATACAGAAAGAAAGTCCGATTATCCATTTCCTGCCATGGTTTGATTGAGTGTTCATCTAATAACTTCTATTTATTTTCAACCCTGTCCTCAACGTTTTTATTATTCTTTCATCTTCTGATATTTATCTCTTACATAATATTAATGATGTTCACATAATAGTCTGTTTTATCATGTTGGGAGATTACTCAATCACATATTAATTTCGCTACTCTTACATAATCTCTTAATTATCACTTCTTCGCATAGAAAAACACATTGATATTAACTATGTTTATTCATACAGTTTGTTTCCCTATTCTTCTGATTATCACGATTTTTGACTGTCTTGAGCATCTACCTAAACTTCACAAACTCAAGTATGCTAAAATTTGTTAGCAATAATATTTATATTTATAATTATACTTTTAAGTTGTATGCAGCTGATGAGAAACCGTAAAATAGATTGATGAATTCATTTTATTCTACAACCCTTATTGTTTTAGCTCTGTTTAATACCATATAAAAGTGGCTTAGGAAACAAGACCTATCATAACTTAACGCTCCAGTTCCTCACGCTAATATGTTGTGACACATCTATGATAGAGTATAAACCGTCTATTGAACACACGTTTTTAAGAAATATTTTGATGTAGGCTGTATCAACAATGTCTGAGTATGCTAAGAATTTAGTATATCGAGGAAAAATCAAATGATCCAATGAAGCCATACAATAAATTCTATAAAAAAAATAGTCAGCTACTTGTTGAAATAAATTCATTCCACGTGGTATAAGAATAAGCAACTTCATCGAAAGAATAAGTGGGAATGCTGAAACCACTGAATAAAAAAAATACAGAAATACTGAACGTCACTCGTAGGGGTTAATAAAAAACACGAATGTAAATTTTATTAAGATCACGAACTGATTTAAGTTAGACAACCACTGAAACGTGAAAACACTGGATAGCAGCTCAGTCCTAGTATGGGAATCATCAACAGATTGCATCTACGACCCCGCAACCAAGAACTCAATCTAGGACTTGCCGTCACGAGTACGAACGCTTGACCTCTAAACCATTGAGTCAAGAGTTAATGGTGTACAAGATACCAGGCGGCCATTTTTCATTGTATTCGGTAGGTGACTTCCTTATACCTAACACGGTTGAACTCCACTGGTCGTGTTTTCAGGTTTTTAATGGCTCTTATAGGTCGGTTCGTGATCTCAATAAAACAGAACAACTACAACTATAAATCATCTATTAATTAATACATGAATTAAGCTAACATTAACAAACTTACCTCAAGCATAGAAAATAATTCTTGTTTAGAAATTCCAACTCGATCTTTATCCATACTATCCACTACATAAATAATAGCATCAGTATTCGCATAATAACAACGCCAATATGGTCGAATACTAGTTTGACCGCCTAAATCCCACACTTGAAATTTAAGATTTTTGTGAACAACTGTTTCTACATTGAATCCAATAGCTGAGATTTTGGAAAAAAATAATATGTATATCAATAATTCTAAAGAATTTTGATGGGTTTCTTTGTCTTAAAAAAGAGGTCATATTGGCATGGAATTCAGTGATTTTCGTGATAATAATAATAATAGTATTATTTAACACTATAAATTTTGTTATAGTAAAGTTTTCAGCATCAAGTGTAATTTCGCAATAAATTCCTGTGTCATATCCATTCAAATTTTAATTATTCATGAAAAGCTTTGTGAATTCTTTTTAAATAGACAGTTTATTTATTTCAACGCATAGATATTGGTACAAGGAGGCACCAAATACATATGCGTCACACAAATTTCATTCGATATGTGAGGGTTGTGATACTGCTCGGGTGTCCAAACCGAAGCAGGTGGTTTTCTTAGGTAGCCACTTCCCGAGCCTTTGACCTGAAGGTCTGATCCAAAAGACAGTGGAGCATCGTGAGGAGATGCTTCCCATGGTAGCCAGTGACAAACGACTGGTTCATAAGCCATTTGTTCCTTCAGGATACTGGAGCCCATGTGCACCATTGGTTTGGGATTCGGTTAAAGCGCCGGACATTCGCTTTTCGTCCTCTCATTTTCGTAAAGAACACCCCCGCCACGAGAAGGCAGTGAGGACATCCCTGGCAGAGGCTACATACGTGTGGCCATATGAGAGCATTTAGAGAGGGAGAGCGGACTCTCCCCACTCTCGGCCGTACCAGGGCATTCGGGGGCATATGCGCCACACAGATTTCATTTGATACGTATGAGGGCTGTGATACTACTCGGGTGCCCAAACCGAAGCAGTATATGCAGTTAGCATAATTAATACTTAACTCAAGAAAATCTAAAATAGTTAGTCCAAAATGTTAGGGTTTATTTATTTCTTTATTTGAACATATAAATATTGGTACAAGAGGGCACCAAATATATATGCGCCAATGGCTTTTAAAAACAAAGCTAACAACAAATAAAAGACGGGATATTGGACAGTTACTTTATTCATACTTCGAACATTTTAATATTTACTCCACATTATCTCTGGAAATATATCTAGAATCTTTGGCCTTTGTGATACATTTGAGTCAGAACTTAGTGGTTATCGTGAGAAGTACGCAGTACTATTTAGACCAATCTGGACTTTTAATATTTATATGAGAAAGCTCGGAATAATAGTTAGTTTATACTGACAGATAACGGTAAATGTCTTACATAGTCGTTTCGTATCAACTTACATATTCTGGGTGATATCAGGGAAATGGTTGCGTTATTAAAATATTCATTTCCAATACATTTTTCGACCAAATAAACCTGTTCTCAAACTTTGATTAGCTGTTACAAATCGTTTTTTGATTCAATACAAGGCAAAAATGAAGGTAGTTTCAAAAGCTTTAAATAATTTTTTTAAAACTAATTATATTTTAAAACCTAGGGACAGTAATACATATACATTATCCCTTCATACGACCGGAAGTATGAGAAAATATCTCGTTATACGATACTAAATATTTATCTATTGAACTAGTAATCATTAACTTCGCTCGCTTGTATAGGAGTTATATTTTCGTGTTTGAATTAAGACTCACTTTTGCTGATTAATCTCGTAATATTAAATAATAACTTTTTAATAACTAACCGATTATATTCTTACTTTATAAAGTAATGAACTATACATACAGAGCACTTCCTTACTGAGTTAAACTAGTAGAGAATAAGTGTTGTACGCCAAACAGCATACTTTTTCTCCTTTTATAAAGTTTGTTCTAAGCTATCAAGAGTATTTTCATAAAATATGCTTATATAAATCGTTCTTACACCACAGATTAGTTTGGAATGGACAGATTTTCTTTTTTTTAAATAGAACTTTTATCGAAGTTTACATTAAAATTTTCCACTGAGTCTAAAGATTACGATTATGGCAACTTAAGTACCACTAACAAGTACTGTTTATAAAGAATCTATCGAAAATTAAGGACTTACTAGGGATGGTTGTTACCACTTCACCAACCTGTAACCTATAGAGAATTGTCGTTTTCCCGGCTCCATCTAAGCCTAAGATAAGGATTCTTCGTTCTTTACTTCCAAACAGTCGGGAAAACAGACTAAATATACCACCTGAAATCATAAAGATTGTGTTGGAAAGAATGCTTACCCATTTATATGATAGCTAACTGTTTTGTATTTCGAATAATATACGGTTATTTAGAACTTTGGTCAGATGAAGTGGAACCGTATGGTTCCTATAAATTACGATATATGCTAAAATAATCCAATATAAGGTGAAAAAAGATGAGTTGACCTTATAACAGATACCACCGTATGCAAAAAAGGTTTTATTTATTAGAAAACCATTTCTACATGCTTTAAGTAAGACACTTTAATAATACAAAAACATCACTATAAAGACATCGCTGTATAATTTCTCCTATTTGCACTAATACTGTTACTATCACAGCACAACTTTGATGTGCTAATAGTTCAGCAGCTTGAACCGATGCACATGTGTCAGACTACATTCCTTGACTAGGTGATCACTGGAAGTATTTCCGTATATCAAACGCCTACAAACGAATCTAGTGATCTTTTCGAGATGTGCACATGAGGCTTTTTATAACCCGTTTGCACTAAGCTACAAAACAACTTGGCGAACAGGATAAATTTGTATGTTAGTGTTTCATCACACGTGAAGAACACTTATTTCAAGACTTGGTAATACTAAAAATGAGCTAAAGGATGACTTAAGAACGAACTATAACAAGATAAGTAAAGGAAAAAAATTATGGAAGACTTGAATGATTTCGTGGGTTTTTATGTAGCATAGATAATGAAATTACAGGGTCACTGGACCGATTCGACAATATCGTCGTGAAACCTGCATATGCAACATAGGACCTAATACATGAATGACTTTGTACACCGAAACTATTTGTTTGGATGTAAAATTAGACAGAAGAATAAGAGAATTGAGAGGGCAGTCATTTCTTGGTCAACTAATTCGAAATGCCTATAAACTAACCTTTTCTTAAATGCTACAGAAATTTATGATGGAGAACACTTCCCCTCCTAAAGTGAACTAAGAACTAATATAGTCCGCAATCTAAACTTTAATGCAGGTCGAACTTATTTCGTTTACATCCATCATAGGATTATCAAGTGGGGACCCAAGTTGCTCTCGGATTTGCAGAACTAAGTATTCTCATCTACAAGAAAATTAGATAAATATAACAAACTGCTATTATCTATACCTCAGGCATTTCATGCACCAACCTTCTCTTATGTCCATGTAATATCTCTCGAAAAAAAATGATACGGATTTTTTAGGAGTTTATTGGGACAAGCTTCTTAGACATGTAGAACTACTCAGTTTACTAACACTGGAACAACACAGTTCGTACCGGTCGGCAGAGCCCATTAATTAGCTCGAATCTCCCTAATAATAGCTTAGGAGATTAAGAAGCACCTCGAGAACGGAGTTCATCTTCGACGTCATATCTGATGACCGTTTATTAAGGATCTTTACAAAGGGCTAGTGCAGTAACTTTAAAACTTAAGAATAAAGGCATACGGAAAACTTAGTTTGGAAATTCTTTGTGACCGTTGAACAAGAGTAAAAGTAATGAAGAGGCTCTGAGTAAAAGCCTGTAAAAAGTGGCATGTTAACATACCACTTGTTAGATAAGTTCATATGATAGTAAACGACCTATATAGGTCGTTTACTAGCCCTAAGATGTCAGTAAGAATTCCCGAGTCTTTAGGTACTCGTCACTATTAGTTGTAAATGATGGGTACCAAATACCTGGAACCGTACCGAAACTACAATGAAAGCAAAAATATCAACTAAATATAGTAATTATAATTATAATTGGACTATAGTCAATTGGTCTTTATTAGCCTATGACAAAGCTATTGGGTTTCATGTCATTGTAGTAGAATGCTGAATTTTTTTATCTGAAGGGTGATTGGACTATGTTATAACTCGCGATACAACAGAAATCTTAACAATTACACACAAACCGGTGACCAATGTTATCACTTGTAGCTCAAACCTTGAATAAAATGCATTCAGTGTCTAATATTCACTTGATGTGGTTCAGAATTTTAGATCTCTTATATCCTATATCCATAAAACGGGATAGCTTTTTATTGGTTAAATTCCTAACGTCTAATTTTTACTGTGGTGAGACTGATTTATGACTTAAAATCACTCAGTCAATCATGTAGACTTTCAAAGTTGTTTTTGCAGAGATATGTCTACCTGTTTGTAGCGGAAAATGGTTCGGCAAGTCTTCGATGTCGACTCTGAACTCACTTACTCAGCCAGATATATCCATGCTGGAGGCGCTCGTTTATGCATCTGCACTAGAATGCCGTTTAGTACCCCATTCTGCACATCCCTTTCAGTATCTTATCATCTTAGATCACTTGCTTCTCTACACACAGGCTAAATTTCAAATATGTCTTTATATTATTTTGTTCCTGACTTTTACATTTACTAGGTTTTGGATCCTTTGATTATAAGAAGGTCGCAGAAAAAACTTCGTCGAGCCATGAACGTTCGTGATACATTGAGACCAGTAGTTTTAATCTGGAATGGTATTACTTTGGTCTTTGACTCATTAATTTGAATCCAACAATATTTGACTAGTTTGGATCCGAATCCCCGTTAGTTATGGAAAGTTACAGCTAGTAATAAGGCCAACGGTAATCATAATTGACTTTATTGTTACAGAGGGTTCTCTAAAGCTGACTTAAGAATTAGTTACTCTCGACCGCCCTTAGACTGATTTCATTGAGTACAACGGTTATTGATACTTCGTTCAGTTTTTACAGAAAACAACCACATCTTATTTGATTTCCGACCCTGATATTTTTTATTCCAAGGACTGTTCTAAATTGGGAATGTTCCAAGATAGTGTGTGCCGTCTACCCAAGAAGTGATGGATATCACAGTTGCTTATTTCCAAGTTGTCCGCGTTCATCAGAATAGTCCCGCTGTTCGTGGCTTTGGTAAAGTGGTTCATAGCTATGGACTCAAAGCCTCAATATCCACTATACTTTGAAATAATATGCTTTAAATTCATATCAATGTTAAGTCTGGACGCATAGAGTAATTTTTGTGGCATTAGTTTATGAGCCTTACTGGGAGATTTTAATCGTGCTCACGAGTGAGTCATTTCCGGATCGTTTCACTCCTTCCACCAATAATCCGCTTTTATTTTCAATTTTCTTTGTCATTACACTTGTCTAGTTCATCTTTCAACATTCAACTATCCCGACTTCGAAGAGTAAAAATAGCCTTACATGTTGTTATGTCCTATGGAACGCCGAGAATCACATGACAAATCTACAAATCAAAATACTGAATTCTATGGCCTTGTCCTTGTGTTAGACCAATGACACGAGTTATATTTCTGTCTTATTACGACCCAGCTATTCCTATTGCTCAGTATTCTCGGACACTAATTCACTCGACAAGACCCGAAATCAGAACACGGTTGAACGAGAAAGAGACTTTATTTCAAATAACAAGGTTATGTAGAAGTAAGATTAACAGTATGAGAAACGTTATTATATTTATAGTTTTTACATGTGATTCTAGAGTATCTACCAAGTATCGAATAGCGCTGATTGAATAAGATTTAGTCAATCAGCATGCAACAACACAGCCGTGCATCGAGCATGCTTTGATCCAGTCTTTGTCCCGCTATCAACACGTTAACTAATTCCATCAGCTTTGTGTCGACTTTGATCCTCTATTACTACTCGATTTACAAGCTTCTTACCTGGCCCAGTCACACCAGTCGAAAATAAAAAATGTCAGCCTTCATTCTGAAAACTAGATATTTCAGATATTTGCGGTTTATATACAAGTAGACCATACCGCATCACACCATAACATGAGAAGTAATCATTACATAGGATTAAGCCTAAAGTAGCCGTGAGTACATGAGACTATAACTAGTAGATTGGAGATAAATCAAAAGTAACAAATCGTATAACGCTAGCTAATGAGTCAAGTGAAAACGTATGATAAGAAGAATATATTTCGTGCCTATAGGCAACCCTCGTTCTATTGATAGAAGAAACCAGGCTAGCATCAAATAAATTTCTATTTAGATCGCGGCACAGTCAGCGTGGAGTGGGGGATTACCTGTTAAAATACACAATTACACACACAACATCCATTATAAGATAATAGGAAATATAATGCCTATACAAAATGAGGAAGTGAATGAATACTTGAGCTCCACTGTTTTGGCATATACTTGATTGTTTGAATTCAACTCTTAACCAATGAATCTAAGCTGTTACATGTACATATGTATGACCTATTTATTTAACAATTATACGATAAGAATATACATAATAATAGTGCACAAATAATTCCTGTAAGTTGTCGCTCGTTTATTTTTAGTTTGGACATAACACTTCCAAATTTAACTGCGCGGTTCATCAACATAAATCTCCTGGACTACATTCCTGTTCTAGTCACGAAGTTTGATGGAACCTGATTGAGGAGCCCATTGCTTATCTGGATAACATTCCATTTGCTCTAACTTCATACATACCTGGGAAAGGATATATTTTTGCGACGGTAAACGAATATCAATGAGCACCGAGGGTTAAATTTACAGGATTTCCTTTAAGGGCGAGTACACACTATGTAAAGACCTGAAAAATCTGAGCGGATGCTTATGTATTCTAGAGCATATACATAGGTATAAGCGACACTCGTGTAGCAGCATATGTCCTAGTATACATTATATGCACACCTAAAGTATACATTTCAAGTCTAACTATGCGTCGAAGATTCGCTCGTGTACCCGGCAAAGCAAAAACGAACTATTCTGTATGATAGTAGAGTAAAGGATTTGCATTGGCATGACTTCAGAAAGCGCTAAATTCTTTTTCCGAGCACTGCAAAGTGTTCGCCGAAAAGTTATAGCCATGATATCAGTAACTGACAATTTCCCACTTTGGATATGTATCTGTGAATTTGTAACGTACTTCCATGTCAACTTTCGAAATCCGTGAATTGTCTAGCATTTTCTTATCCACTTGCTGAGAGCATGTTACGCATAAAAGCATATTTTCCTCTGGTTTAAATAACGTGAGGCTCCAACTTTCACTTTAGTCCTCCGTCTTCTGTCCTGAC